GCTTTTTTTGTTAACCATGAAGTCTTGCCTTGTTGTAATAAGTATAAAAGATCACCTCACCCTTAGGGGGGTGCAAACTTGGACAGAGTACATTTCACTCCCTCGTCCAAGTCGCTGATGAAGACATTAAAGAGTATCGGTCCAAGGACCGAAGCCTGTGTGACCCCACTTCCCACACCCTTCCAGGTCGAAACCGACCCATCCACCATGACTCTCTGGGTGCGGCCCTCCAGCCAATTCGCCACCCACCGGACTGTGTAGTCATCCAGGTCACAGCCTCTTAACTTGTTCACCAGTATGGGGTGGGATACCGTATCGAAGGCCTTCCTGAAGTCTAAGTATACGACATCCACCCCTCCTCCTGTGTCCAGGCGTTTCGTACCCTGGTCATAAAAAGAGACTAGATTGGTCAGGCACGATCTGCCTGCCACGAACCCGTGCTGGTTTCCCCTCAGCATAATTTGTCCTGCCGGGCTCTCACAAATGTGAGCCTTGATAATTTTTTCCAAGACTTTGCCAAGGATGGAGGTGAGACTGACTGGCCTATAGTTGCCCGGGTCCTCCTTCCTCCCCTTTTTGAAAATGGGGACCACGTTGGCCCTTTTCCAGTCCTCTGGGACTTGGCCCGTGCATCACGAGCTTTCAAATATTCCCGCCAGTGGCTCTTCAATGATGTCGGCCAGTGCCTTCAGCACCCTCGGATGGATCTCCTCCGGGCCTGCCGACTTAAAGGCATCCAGTTCTTCCCAATGACTCTGCACCATCTCAGGGTCTATGCATGGTAGTCTGGCGCCTTGCTGCTGCCTCTCTACAACCCCAGTGAGAGACTTGTCCTGCCCCTCACTTAGGAACACTGAGGCAAAGAACTCGTTGAGGAGTTCAGCCTTGTCCCCTCTGTCCGTCACCAATTGTTTCTGCCCATTTAGCAGGGGTCCTATTCCTCCCTGGGCCTTCCTTTTACTCCCAATATATCTAAAAAACAATTTCTTGTTGTCTTTTACTTGGGTTGCCATCCTCAGCTCCATGGCAGCTTTGGCCCGTCTAACTGCCTCCCTACAAGCATGAGCAGAGGAGGTCTATTCATCTTTGGTGATCTCTCCCTGTTTCCACTTTTTATGTGCTCCCCTTTTGTCCTTTAGGCTGCCCTGGATTTCTCTGGTCAGCCAGGGAAGCTTCCTGGCCCCTTTCCCCCTTTTGCCTCGCTCGGGGATCGTCTTGCTTTGTGCCCGAAGGATCGTTTCCTTAAGGCACAGCCACCCTTCTTGGGCTCCCATCACTTCAAAACTCCTACTCTGCAGTGCGTCCTTGACTAATCGCCTGAGTTCATTGAAATCAGCTTTCCTAAAGTCTAGCACTTTCACCCTACTAGTTACCTTACCCACTCGACGTCTTATGGTGAATTCTATTATTAGGTGATCACTGTCCCCCAGATGGCTACCGATCTGTAGGTCCCCAACCATGTCACCCCCCTTTGCCAATACCAGATCCAGTATGGCATTCCCCCTAGTGGGACCGTGTACCTCCTGTGTCAGGTGGAGGTCCTGTACACAGGTTAGAATCCTGCGTGAGCGGTGGGACTTTGCTGTCTGTGACTCCCAGCAGATGTCCGGGTAGTTTAGGTCCCCCATGACTACCGCCTCTTTAGCTTTTATGGTCTCCGAGAGTTGCCTCAGGAGCCCCGAATCTCTTTCTTCCCCTTGATGTGGGGGTCTGTAGCAGACCCCTACCACCAAATCCCTTTCTCCTTGCCCCCCATGTAGCCTAACCCACAATCCTTCTACCTCCTCATCCTTGGATTCCGTCTTGATGAGGGTTGACGTATATTGCTCAGTGACATAGAGCGCAACCCCTCCCCCTTTATTCCCCACCCTGTCCTTTCTGTACAATCTATAGCCCTATATTTCTGTTAATACAAGTACAATCAGTGACAGCAAAAAGTGGATTGCTATGCAAGCACCATTTGGTTTTACGTGTCTCATCTTCCCAAGTTGCTCCCATCCTAAAGATGTCCTTGGACCTCTAGGAAAGGTTCAGACACAAATCACAAATGTTGGGGACATACAAAGTACATTTTGGCACTTCAGACACTGCAGTGGATTGCCCGTACTGACACTTACCATCAAGCTGCTTTCCTAACTCCTCCTGGATAAGCCTTCTCAGAGTTTCCAAGGATGGAGGCTCCCCCTGGGGAGAAGAGTGAGAAAGAATCATAATACTTGTGACAAAGGCAGCAGACAAAACCTGTCATCTGGAGTCTATTAAAGAAGATACAGTGGGCTAGCTTCTTTCAGCTGGCAGGGTCTCCAAGTCTGAAGAGTCTGCCCCCAGTTCCCACTCTGAACTGGCAAGAATAGCACTACAGCACCTGGAAACAGCTGTGGCCAGGGTGCCCCATGGATACATTACTTCACTGCATCTCCCCAGTATCCTATGAGCATCAAATTTCTCTGCAGAAGCAAGTTGCAGAGAGATTTGACCCTATACCGAAGGGTGTGTGGGTATACAAACATGCATGTGCATGTGTGTGTGTGAGTGTCTGTGTGTGTGTCTGTCTGTGAAATGAAGGCAAGTATCTAGATTTGTGTTATTCGTGCTGACTCATATTTGGACACTATATTGATTGACCTGAAGCTCCGCTTCTCAGAGGATGAACTATTCACATGAAAAATTCCAGCCATCCCTAGCTTCATTTTAATGGAAAATACAGTGGCATTTAACCTTTACCTCTGCTTGTAACCTGCTGAGACGCCTTCTTGAAACAGATTGTATTATTTTTCATTAATACTTAGGGAAACTCGTAAACATTTAAAAAAATAAACCTCTAATATAATGTTAGAGTTTATACAACAAATACAATTCATGTCAGAATATAACCTATTTAAGTCCATTTCCTACCTGACTCAAACATGAAGACTGGTCCATCAGCATCAAGACCAATGTCCTCATTACTATAACTGAACACTTGCACCGAGCGTGTCAAAAATACTTTGGAGCTTGCGGACTGTACTTATACGGCTATAAAAAGGAAAAGCCTTTTGCAGTTCTAAACTCATTGCGTTTCGTTGCCTTAATTCTTTATAGCTCATTAGTGTATGTCATCACATATCTTCCAAGTTGTTGAACAACAAGGATGTGCTTTGTCTAAGACATAGCCATCCTTTCTATCAGAGCTTATTTCTCTTGGAATCCCCTTGAGGTAACAGTTTCCGAAGCCAGAATTCATTTCTCAGAGCATGAACAGTGACTATGCAACTATAAAACAAATCTCTTCATTCTCTTAAATATTGTGCCCTCAGGCACTTTAACTGATTATAGTGTTTTTTGTCAGACAGAACAAATTATTCAGATAAATAAGATTTAATGATCTTTGCTGAGCTGAATCCTGTAATTTTTGGACTATAGCAACAGTCCATGCAGCCTAGCATCTTCTTTCTGACAATGTCCACTAACAGAGGGAGCTGTAAAACTTTTGAATCAACTATTATACAGTATAATGCTCCTGGAGGAAGCCTCTTCCTATCTCTAGGCCCTTTGTGATTACACCCTCAAGCATAACGCTTGCCAAGATAAAAAATAAATAAGGAATATCTACTGCAAAGGCCTCATCTTTTGTTTTAATTATGCTGCACCGTTGTTTCCATAAAAGCTGGCTGCAGAGAGATCCCTGTGTGTTTTCCTGTGCTAGAGCATCTTCTCCATGCCAAATTTGAACCAAAAGGATCTTTTAGCAGATATGAGTCACTTAACCTGCCTACATAACTCAAGGTTGGGGTTTTTTTTCCAGATCTGTAATTGAGCACTTTTTAAACACAGCCCAGCCAGAGCTTCTGTGGGAAGTGAATACAATCACATTCATCTTGAGGCAAGAGTTTTAGGTTGGTAGAATTGTGTTCCCCAGCTGGAATTTGCCAGTCAGACCTGAATGAATGTTTTGCAAAAACACTGCAAGGATATCAATGCAGCAAAAATACCCCAAGAATGGTAATGACTTAGTGATCTCATGGTTATGCTTCATATGAACAATGCCCCTATGTTCAGCTATATCCATTTAAGTAAAATATTATGTAGCGGGAGAACCCCGGGAGATGCATCATCTCTATTGTGTTGCAATGTAGTTTGGAGAGACAGTAGGTGAGCATACGTAGTTCATGTTCGCGGTGTGTGCTGCAGTCAGCCTTAGCACAAGGTTACTGGATAAGATGGCTCGTCTCCTAAGCACCTATAGGTCGTTTTTCTTTGACTCCATGATCATGTTTGCCTGGTCTCATGCCATTGGACTTGCATCTCTGTACAAAACTTGTCACTCACGCCTGCCGTCCTTACCCGTGGACCAGGAAATCCTGGCTGTCCTGGGGGACCTGGAGGTCCAGTTTGTCCATTGTCTCCTGGTGGCCCTTGGGGACCCATCAGTCCTGGGTGGCCTTTATGGCCTGGTATTCCAGGCTCGCCAGGTGAGCCCTTCTCCCCCTGTGGGCCTTTGTCACCTTTGACTCCAGGATCTCCCTATCACACAAAACCATTGCATCAGCACAAAGAGATGAACATGTCACTTTTTCCTTCCCCCCACCAAAGCTTAGGAGAACATGAAGTTACTGAGCAAAGGGTTAAGCATCTTTTGACCACCAAAACGTGCAGCTTCTGGGTCCAGTATGTAGTTCACTGCAAGTTATGACTGAATTACAATGACTAAAGGTGGCAGATGTGTACAGAACATCAGATCCTCATGGGCTGCACTTAGCCCATAAACCGTACTTTCGGCCAACCCATCTAAACTTCTTTTGACTTCCATGTAATACAGAAAAACAAATGATACTGTCCAATGCACCTTGTCTCCTTTGGATCCATGTTCACCTGGTTTCCCAGCTGCACCCTGCAATGAAATAGTCAGCATGAGCATGCTATTCGAATACTGAGCTAGGGACAGGATGCTTCCCCTTCTGATGGCTCCCAAGACTTCAGGAAAATAAAGCCCTATATATTTCACGGTCGCTTCATGCTCTTTGTTTCTATTAGTAATTTAAGAATAAAAATTAAAAAGTACTCTTTTCCTGCATATGTCTCACACTTTTTTCCCCAAAAAAACAATTGTTGGAAATTTAAGTACGTGTTATATGCAAAAAATATGGTAAGAACCATTTCTGCTCCTTAGAGCCAAAAGTGAAAGTAAATCTGCAACCTTCTCACAGGGAGCAGAGCAATGAGCAGTGTCAGCTCTCTGGCTGCTGCTATTGAGCTACTTAGTACAAGGAAAGATTTTGTTTGTCTTCAATCTGCCTATCAAAAACAAGGTGCACATTATATTCCAAGGGGTTCTGTATGTGAAGAAATATGGTAATGTATAAAACCCAGCTGAAAAGCCCAATATTTTCACTGAGCTTAGACAACAGTACTGCTCTGAAACAGCTAGGAAGTGGACTTACCTCTTTTCCCAGGGGACCCTTCTCTCCCGGTTCACCCTAGGAGATACAGAGAATGAACTCAGACTATTGCACTACAAATCTGACTCTCTGTTGCCATGTGTCACATTTGAAAATGGTGAGCCGGGAATAGGAAAAGTCAACGCTAACCAAAGGGAGATCCTAAAGAATCAAAGACTCACATAGGAGTAATGTTGGAAAGTCCCTCCAGAGGTCATCTGGTCCAACCCCCTGACAGAAGCAGGATTATCCCTAATCCGAGCCATCCAATACAAAGCATAACCTAAACTGTACATCAAGGTTAAAATGAATTTCTCAAACTGCTGCATGCTACAGGAAGGCTCCTAAATACAAGGGAACTTCTAGTCATCCCTCCAAAGCTAGCAAGGGTTGGGATGAATTATTCTTTGCAGAGGTTTCTCTGTTTCTGGTGCCATACAGGGGATTTTTCTTTTGGATGTTTCACAAAGCTCTCAATGTGGTTTACTGAACTGCTAGTTAGGTTACCTAGGCTTAAATACACCCTTCTCCATTAGCTACTCTCTCATATTTTGTATTAAATTAAAAAAAAATTACATACTCTCTTTATTTTCACATTTCGTGCAGCATCTGTTACTGCAATGGCAAAGCACTGGATTGAATGCAATACCCATGTAACAATGTAAAACATTGTTGGTACCAATGTACCTATTGCACTCTCATACAAGGAGTCCAACATGCATCTAAAAGCCTTGGAATACATTTTATTTTTAGTATGCGTGCATGTGCGTATATACTTGATATTCCTTCATAAGCTGGAAGTGCATGTAATCAGTCCCACAAGCCAGTGAAATATATATGCTGAAAAAATAAAAAAATAAAAAATATTTATATATAGATTACATATCCCTGTAAGTGATATTATGCTTCCTACTACATCACCTGCCAACTATACAAACTCCTGGGACTTATTCCAATGTTCCACAACCCCAGTGAAGCTTTTGCAGATACTATATTTTGCTTAAATGAGCTTGCCAAGGAAATATTTCTTTTCTCTCTCTCCAGTGAGGAATGCCCCTTTCATTCAAAAAAAAAAAAATTACCCTAGCCTGAGACTCAAGTTAGAGAAGCTTCAGTCTGCATTGGGAGCAGGTATCCTAAAGAGAGATTCACCACAATGGTAAGTCTGTTACTTGCAGGGCTCAGAAAAATACATTTATGCAGAAGGAGAGGGGAGAGTCCCAGCTTCGCAGCAAGCCCTGACATTTGCCTCTAGCCTTGGAAATTTCTGGATGTTATGGCTGTGATATTCTTATGTATAGAAAAGTGGTTTTAAATCATGTTGGGCAACATTTTAATTTCTAATTGCAGCAGACTTCTATTTCTGAGCCTTGAACAACTAGACCCATGGGTATCAGGGAACTTAGCCTTTGGCACAGGACTATAAAAGAGTGTGAAGAATTCAAAATGCTTTAATCCATTCCTAATGCAGTTCTTTTATAATATGTGGCCCAATGGAAAGCTTTCTGAGTACTGCAATCTTCCCAAAGTCATGCCAAGAAAACCTTTACACCACTCCCTCCCTCTGTACAACCTAAGAGTGTCATGCCCAGGGATAATAATTTGACATTTTGTGGGCAGAAAAGAGGATGTGGGGCCCCTTTGAAAAGGAGCTTGCATTAGAGTTCCCCATTATATGAGCCCTCTTGCCTGTGCTTTTGCACAGGTGAAGCATACCAGCTCCATCGAACCTTCAACAGCCCAAAACAGACACCATGTTGGACAGCAAACCTGTTACTTACAGGAGGTCCTCGAGGTCCTATGAAACCAGGAACTCCTGGGCTGCCATTTTCTCCTTTGTTTCCTTTTGGACCCTAAGAAAGAGAAGAAAAAAAAAAACCAAAGACAGTCACAGCTTCCCCTCTGCCCTGCCGTCTGTGTCCTCCCAGAGCGTCCATTTATTGAGTTATTTGAATGGGAAGTGTCGCCTTCCTCTCCCCTCTTTCCATGCTTAAAATAAAGGCATAATGACTTTGTGTGTTCTCCAGAAGGAAATCCTTGCTGTAATAAGTTTTCTGTGAGGGTATCATGTTCATTTGAGTAGTGAGGGTCATCTTAGTGATGGCCAATAATAATCGACAAGGCTACTGGGTCTCATGCCAACCCCTTCTCATGCATCGTTTCCTCATACTCCACCATCAGTGCCCCTCTCTCGGTCATTTCCTGTTACATGCTCAGTTATAAGCCTTTTTTGTTCAGTGTATTTGTACAGAATGCAGTGTAATGTGGCCCTGGTCCACGACTGGGTCTTGTAGATGTTATGGGGATATAAATAAGAACAAGCACCAAGAAATTAAGAGCCACTTAACAATCTTCACTGAGCAGTTCAATGACTGTTGATATTAACTGCATCTCCTTACATCCCTGCACAAATGTACACCTGTGTATACCTGTGCACGCAGACTGTTTAGGAGACACCCAAGACTATGTATTGTGTAGTAGCAGCCAGGAGTAACAGCCAGAGGTGCTGGCTTTTTGTCACTTGCCATGCCTACTAGGTGATGCTACCTCTCCTCCCATATGGCTGTGTACTATCAGCTACCCAAGGCGGAAAGACTTTGTCCACTTCATGGCCAGAGCATGGAAGGAGAGCTCCCTGAAGCTAGATGTGATGAAAGCCTACTCAAAGTGGAAGACCTAGCGGCAAGGCCATGGATTACTTCTGGACAGGGTAACAGAGGTGGCACTGGAACTATCCAAATCTCTCCTTGTGATACCCTCAGGCTCGGCCTGAAACAAAAGCGTCAATGAGCACCCGTCCTTAGGTAGTGCCAGGGGCACAGTAAGTTTTAATTGACTCTTAAACCCTAAAGCAACGTGGGAGGAGAACAAATTAATTCCTCTTTGTTAGTCGTATTATCAGCGCTCCATTGTCAGACTATCCTTGCACATATGGTGGCACCTGAGGGCATCCGTTCTGTTTTGTGACCTTGGCTTACTACCCAGGGCCTACATTTCCCCAGCATGCCTCGAGTGAGCTCTCCACTGCTCCTTTCAGTGGCTGCCTGCCAGCTCTTCTCACAGTCTTTCTTCTTCCATGTGACACTCTCTGCTGATGGCACGTTTCCTCACTGGGCAAAATTAAATATCTTTTTAAGGAGGTGCCATACCACTCTTTTCTCTGTATTGAATAATAAATTACTCCCCTCTGTCCCATCTTTAGTGAGAAAACGGTGATACAACCAAAGGACTGACATCTCTTGATCCCAGCCACACAGCCACCCACCAGACAGCGGACCACCCAAATATAACCTTCAAACAGTTGGCCTTAAACTTTGAACCTTGCAACTTCCCATTGGAAGTCTATGGACATCCCAGCACACCTCAGGCTTCTTGTTCCCCTAATCATCCCCTGTAATTGTTGCAAGAGTCCTAACTGTTATACAATAGTCATCATCACACTTACTGGGTTTCCTGCAGGGCCAGGCTCCCCTGGGGGACCAGGTGATCCACTCTTGCCCTGTACCAAGAGGGAAATGAGACAGAGTGAGAGAGAAAGAAAGAGATTTGGAACCAAAAATTAAAAAATCAGCTGGAGCATCTAAGCAGCAGGGAGATCCTTCACTTCAAGGTCATCCCCACTGAGACAGAGACATAAACACCATGATTTCCCTTCAGGATGCTCACACTCTGGTGATGGGCACATTAAAAGACCTAACTGGTTAGGATGTACTTCTGGGCTAGATGGCAATGGTAATTCTCCAATGGCTAATAGGTTGCTAAAGGAAGTGCATGTTTGGGAGAGGGGATAACAGGCTGTCAGCAGCATGGGGCAAGGAAGTCCTGCCAACTTCCTATGGCCACCTTCAAGAAGAATAAAAATCCCCAGGATCACCAGTGCTCACAAAGAACAATTCCCTTCCACGTTTCTTTCCTCATTCTCTTCTCCCAGATCCCTTCAGCCACGGCTGAAATAAAGCTTCTGGATATAAACGCAATGGCTTTTAGGTAACACTCAGAAAAAACAGCAAGTGCTTTTGGGATGGAAAACTAAGAGGAACTTCTTTGAATGTTTAATGGGTTAAGGACAAGTTTCAAGTGGGCATCATGCCACTTCAGAGACAGCGATTTGGCCTGGACCTACTTCAGCTGGAGGATCATTCCCAACCCTGGTTGTTTGACTCCTGATTCTGGTTTCCATCTTCTCTGGAAGAAGCAGTGAAGAGCACCTCCATCTCTGAGAAGTCTTTGCAAGAGGGGGACCTTGCTCTGTCCTTTGTACTGCTCTGGTGGCACCGAGGGGACAGGGAGCTCACTAGGAGGGCAGCTAGTTGTACCCATCATAGAGGGAACCTCTGGGGGCTAGAAAGCTGGGATCCTGGGCTAGGCCACCGAAGCCTGAGGGCCATTTCTGCACCATGTGCAGAAATGTAGCCACAGGAACTCAGCATGCCAGGTTTTCCATCCGCCTGGGGCATTTAGACATTGCCAGTGTGACCCTGCCTAGGCGTGGAACATTAGTGTCAAAATCCTTATCACCCGTGTTCAGCAGATCTTCTGATGTGGTGCCCACCATTCACTGATGATGGAAAAGCCCCATCACAGGGAGAATGAAAAGCATGAACATGAGCATGTGAGGATTTGAGAAATGTGCAAATGAGGAGAGCTTTTGAAAACTATGTTGGAGAAACACCCTTATATGGCACCCACAGATGTGCTAAAGAGGCCACCTTGTTGCCATCCCCTCCTACATCAGTATGCTGAGAGGTTTCCTGCCTAATTAGAACAGCCCTTGAAAGCTGGCCCTTTTACCTGTAATCCTCACAATCTGTATAGCCCCCAGAGCCTCTCATTAATTAGAATTAGGATGACCATATGTCCCAGTTTAACTAGGACAGTCCTAGATTTCAGAGGCCGGTCCTGGTAGGCTGTTGAGCATTATAATGGGCATCCCAGAAATCCAGGGGCACGGTGGCACACTCAGCCAGGAGTCAGAGTGACATGGGTGGGCGGGCAGGCAGGCACCGCTGCCTACCCAGAATGCCCTGCACCCCAGCCCTGCTGACTTGGGAGAGCACAGGGAGGAGATGCGGGGCCAGTGTCCTGGATGTCCCAAATTTCCTTATGGTTGGCCTAATTATAATGCCAAGAACAGTAGGTACAAAAAGAACAAGAGGGTCTGGTGCTTTGTCCTCTCACTAATCCACCTAAATCCTTAGCATCTTATCCCTTCTGCCTTCCCTCCTGGAAGCCTTTTTATTCATTGCAAGTGATGTACTGGGGCAAGATGTGTTAGCGAGCAGTGCCAGCACCACAGGTCGCATGTGGAATAATGGATTAAATTGAAAGGTAGGCACAAGGGCTCTCCATATGTTACTGTCATCTCCTCTAGACCCTGATGCTCCCTGCTCTCAAGGACCTGATGTTCTCATTCCTGGCAGCGCCGACTGAGTCAGCATTTTGTGCTTATTATAGAACAGGTTTCAGCATCTTGCTTTCTGTACCATGCTTTCCCACGGAGCAAAGAATTACCTGCTACTGCAATCCATTAGGGATGTGCACAGATCCAAACATCCCTATTTGTATTCAGCCGTGGAACGAGGTGATTTTTTAAAATAGAATAAAAACCATGAACACCGGTATAAGCAATCTCTCAGTCATCCCAAAAGACACCTTTAAGAAATTTTAGCTAAATTGCTATTTCTGCACTGCGGGCAATACTACAAACTGGCTTCCTACATGCTTTCAGTAATGAAGAAGCATCTTCTCCTGAAGTTGTTCTTGCACATGCATTGGGCATGATAAAAATCAGGAGCTTGTTAATAGGCATCACGATCAGATGCCTGGTGTCTTAAGGTGAGCATCAAAATTAATGCCCAGTGTCTTAAGGTGAGCATCACGTTAAGCATCAAAATTAACTACTTCTTTGGGAAACTGTAGTCAAAGGCCACAGAGGGCATCAAATGGCTAAAAAGAGCCAAGATAGGAACTTAAAGAATCACAGAAAAGTAGGGCTGGAAGGGAGCTCTACAAGTCAACCAATTCAACCCCCTGCTCAAGGCAGGAACATCCCTATCCAAACCACCCCATGTAAGTGCCTGTCTAACCTACTCCTAAAACTACACAGACAACCCTGTCACACTGCTACAAGACATATTGCCCCCAAACATCAGAACCACCCTAACCAGCCACGAGTAAAGAAAGGGGACAAGGACACTGTCATGGTCCCAGCATTGCAAGTGTTGTTCAAATGCACTCCTGGTTTTCAGCTCTCAGGAGAAACCACCAGTCTCTGCCCCTTCCTGTTTTAAGTCTACTGGCCATCACACATCTTTCGCCAAATGCCACCAGAGGCTTCCGCTGGATCATCTTCCAAAACAGACATCTGGAGTCTATGGCACACCTACAAGGTATTATCCATCCTTCAAAGACCGACTGTCTGGAGGGCAAACTCACCGGCTGCCCTCTGAATCCGCGAGGACCCTGAGGTCCGGCAAGGCCGGCGTCACCCTGGAACAAGAGAGCGATAGTGGCACTAAGCAAATAACATCAACAGCAAACAAACTCCAAAACACAGGCAATTTAATTGTCATTTGAAAAGAATTCAGGTCTCTTAATTACTTTTCGCTGCCCCTGGGTTAGCAAGAAAAATGCAAACAAAAACATTCTGGTTTCTAAATATCCTAGTTTCCCAGGAGAAACCAGCACTCTGAATTACAAAAGGGAGCCTCCGCAAGGCAAGTCTATTAACATGGGGATTTCTAAGCCAAGGTCAGATTCTGGCCACATTTTTAGTTGATGGGAAAGGCGAGATATCTTTCACTGCACCTTGAACTAACTCTGATGCCTACACATCTCGGGCAGGCCTTTTCCATTTGCTCTCTTGTAGGATGAATTCAAAAAACAACATATTCCAGTCATCAGAAAGGGATGCAAATGAGGACCTGGTTTCCAATGACCTCTAGAGAGACCATGGGAACCCACTGGGTCCATCCCTTGGTCATACTCACCGTATGTCCACCTGGGCTCTGCTCTGTTACAGCACTGCTGCTAATAATGCTATAGGACTCGATTTTTCCCTTTAAGTAGCAGCTTATTCTAAGAGCAATCTCACTGATTTCAATGGGGTTACTTGGGTAATAAGGTGCCATTCAGGATGAGAAAGGGTGATGGACTCTTAGCCTGTGGGACTTGGCACAATGAAGTACTGTTTAGAGACAGCAAATGTAGCAGGATCAGGACAACAGGTATCAGAGATACTGGACATACCAAGCAATTGAGAACACAATTCATTTCTCTCCATGTTTCCAAAGATGGAGCTGACATTTAAGTTTCAGGAGGCTAAGCAGTGACAAAGGCCTTCAAGTTCCTTGTTATCTTAAGGAGCGTTGTACAAGCATAGCTACAATAATATGCTGTTACTATAGCTTCCATGGCTGGATTTATCTTGTATACTGTAAAACAAGCCTTCATCAAGGAGCAGAGGATTTATTTCCACTCCAAGGAGCACACTTACATCCTTCCCTGGCGGTCCCTCACGCCCAGCAGGACCTGCCACACCTGGCTCTCCCTGCAAAGACAGGAAAAGAAGAAATGAATTTGGAGCATCTGACACAGCTCTAGCAGTCCAGCCACACCTCCACCAATGGCACAGGGAATCTGCAGGACGAGACTGAAGTTCAAAGGGTCGTTCATCAGGGCTGACAATTTTTTAAAGAACTGGGCAGCTGGCTGTTAGCCTGCCTTGCTTGTTGCTTCAGTTGGAGCTAACAGAGCTCAGACCTGACCCGCTGCTTATAAAATGATTGGGAGCACTCTCCATATGCCAGGCAGCATATGACCAGCAATGGTATGTTCAATATGGAAAGTAACTTGGGAAGGAAAGTTATGCACTTATCACATAGCACAAGGAAGAGGTGATCAGTGAGGACACTAGGGTTAGCCAACTGTCTCTCTATGGTCTTCCACCGCACCATTCATGTTTTCCTGGGGAGCCAGAGTTAGGCATAGGGTTTCCCATTGCTTCCGCAGGATGACACCTGCTATCATGAGGAGTCCCCTTGTACAGTGCCCAAAACATCGCAGACCAGAATGAGGGCAAATCTTGGTGTGGGGCCTGAACTTCTGGCTTTTTTAGGAAACAGAGGTGAGCGCACCGTAGAATGATCACTCCTATTCCCTTTGCTGTGCTTTTCAACTCTGAATGTGTCCCACATCTCCAAAGCTTGGTGTTGTGAGGTTTGATAGTGATTCAGCATGCACAAAAGTCTCCCCTTGCCCTCTGCTCGGTGGCCTTCATGCCAGTGGGAATGAAAGCATTGTGTGAAACAGGTGAACGTCCCAAAGACCATCAGAGATGCTACCACGCTCATCACAAGGGCTCGCACGTTAGATGGACATGGAACTGCTGTGCAGATGAATGAAGGCTGCTCTCGTCAGCTTGTGAGACAGGAAGCTGACACCAGTTACGCCAGTGATTCTCCCCCAGTGGGTCAGTCAATATATGGTTGGATGGACCCATTTATTCTGCCACCCATTATAAGACAACCCCACAGGGTCACAACAGCTGAGGGAAATGACATCACAAGAGCGGGACATAATCCCCTCTCTCAGTGCAGGACCGTTCAATGCTGATTCCTCGATAGACATGACCTCCTCCCAAAGGCTGGTGCATGCTACTTACCCGAGAGCCTGGGGGACCCATGTCTCCTCTTTGTCCCTTGAAGCCCTGCAGAGAAGAGTGGTATTACTAGCAACTTTGCTTCTAGAGGTGGGGATCTTTGGGAGAGCTCTGGTTGAATGGTGCATGCACCCATTTGCCTTCAGTGACTGGTCAGCATGGTGCTGCTGGGCTGTGGAAGAGGCTGTCACAGGGAGCACAATCCCTCTCCCTAGCTGCCTTGGGGGTAGAGGAGACCATGCATGATACAGCCTTCTCTTACTGCTGTGCTAGGCCAGCAGACTGCCAGGGACTTCCCTTTCAGTCATCCCTGCTCTGCCCTTCCACTCAGGAGATACATGTGCCATAAGGATACCTGGGGGGAGCACACGGCTGGCAGTTGTGAGCAAGTGTCTTCACTCATGTCCCATGAGAAGAGAGGGAAGACTCCTTGTGACCCACCAGAACAGCCTGTTGCAAAGCTGCTGTGGTGCAAAAGCTCTGGAAACCCCGTGTTTCACATTGCTGATGACTTGTTCTCTCTCACACCTGCATTGCCTAAACCATATGAGCCAGTCACTGCACAAAGGCTGTATGGCTGTACATCACCACTCCTGTCTCAAAGAGCTTCCATCTAGAAAGACAAGACAATTCATGGATTAAATCCTCTGGTGCAGTACCTACCGGTAACCCTCTGGCACCCTCCTGGCCTGGAAGCCCTGGTTCTCCTGATTTGCCCTAACAAAAACAAGGACAATTTTTAAATCACCGTTGGCCTTCTCATCATCCACAAAGTGATTCTGCTCTTCCCCTTGCATTGCAACAACAGCTTTAGGGCTGCGTTTTCAAAAGTGCATGCAGCAAGGATGCTCAAACAATACCTATATCTGAGCACACAAGACTAGGGGTATGGGGTAATCAATGGACATGCATAAATTCATCTTTTGAAACATGGCACTTGGCATTTTGTGCAGCCCCTGCACTGGTTGCCACATATATTTATGTAGAAGATAAACATTTATGTTTAACATGAAACTGCACATGTCCTTGAAGTGGACGTACAAAATAGTAATGTGCACAGAACAGCAGGGCTCCTGCAACTGAGTACAGACAGTTTTGGACTCAAGAGTCCATTTTCAAAGCAAGATGCTCAGCACAATACCTGAGCCCTGAGTGAGCACTGGTCCTCCCAGCATAAGGCAAGCATGCAATGTTTGGCAGAACTTCAGGACAACAGGAGCAGCACATTTCTCAATGTAATGGGCACAGACTTGGGAATCCCATTTTTTTGTCCAATTATATGAATACAGCCTTCTGGCCAGAAGGCTACAGACCAGGTCCTTTTCCTCCCAGTGATGACAGTTTAACAAAAAATGAGGAAATCAAACCCTCTAGCCAAGAAAAGAGGAGAACTAATCAGGAAATAATACAACAAATGCACTTTAGGATGCATGTTTCCTGTTTCCTTGTCCACCATGCAATTTTCTCTCCACTGCTGAAAAAAAGAAACACCCCCAAAACTCAGAGCTCAGGAGGTTTAATCTTACGAGACAAACTGCTTCCTTACAATATGCACAGTGGTTTTAAGAGTAAAGCAGCCATATTTTCTTCTAAGGTGGTCTGCATGCAACTCATGTGGCTCAGGGCAGTGCAGTTTCCTTGCATTAAAAAGGCATGTGCAAACACACCTCCTGACCCCCTACATAGTCTGGAAACAGGCATCCCTGCAAGTGCAAGCCAGAGGTGGCTCTGTGAGCCTCAACTGGAAATAAGTTTATAAAATGTTTTCTTACAGGTTCCCCAGGAGATCCTGGCTTTCCATCCTTGCCATCGTTCCCATCAATGCCCTGTAAGTGAAACACAGAAGAGAGGTCAATAAGGAAAAGTGTATTTGTTAGTGTGGGATCTCCCAATGACTTCTCTTCTTGAGCATAAGCTACCTTAAGATCAGCTGTCTCACAGTACTCATTTCTATTTTCACAGCTCATCTATCATAAGCACCTCAGTTTGGCTATTAGCCACACAAAATCTGTCCTCCCCTACTGTTCAGATAACAGACTTCCACCTCCCAGTCTGGAGACTATAAGAGCTGTCTTTCTTACCCGTATCTCTCATACACCACAAAGTCAGAAGCATAAGGGTGGATCCTCAACTGGTGTAAATCCAACTAGCTCCACTAACTTCATGAGCTAGGTGGACTTGCGCTAGAAGATGATCTGGCCCATAGACATTAGAGATATAAAATGCCACCAGAGATGCCAAAGAAAAGGTGTGGTCAGACACTGCACCAGTGATGCCGTTGATCTTGAGCCAGAGCAGGGGAGAGAACTGCAATGCGGGGTGTAGAGCACTATCCCCTTTGGTGCTGCGAATGGTTTGCACAGATATCAGAGCCCACACACTTATTGTTATCTCAAGTCTATGCCATCTGGGTGCAGACCTCTGCCAGAGTGCAAAGAGACGGGCTAGGGCAACTGACCCACTCCAGCCCAAAAGCTATCGCTTGGGCAGAAGGCGATCGCACACAGGATTCCCATTGCACGGAGCCAATGTGGAGTTAATCTGATACGTACAAGTCCAGCTCTTTCACTAGTGTAAAGGCATCTCCAACCTGTCCACGTGCTCAAAGGAAGTTTAACCCACCAAATGAGAAGAAGCTACAGGTCATCACTTATCTTGCTGGGATCCTATGACCCCAGCTGACTTCCTGCCCTTTGGGCGGGGGGCTGGACTCTATGATCTTCCGAGGTCCCTTCCAGCCCTGATGTCTATGAAATCTATGAAATCTATGAAACTTACTTGAAGTCCAGGCAATCCTGGTGGTCCCTGAGGTCCTGGTGGGCCATCTTTACCCTGAAAAGAGAACAGGGATGTAGCAGCTCAAATAAGCTTCTCTAATGCTTCTTACATTTGTGCCTCTGTTTCTGGGAGACACCATGTAGGGTTGGGCAAGGAAGGACTGTGGCCAGACTAGGTGCCCCTGCCTGCTTTTGAGTTATCAGATAGCCCAAATGCAGGCAGAAGAACATGCTTATGCCACAGACCTTCCTACCCTGGCTGTGCATGAGGAGTGGGGGACAGGTCCACGTGGCAGCAGTGGCTGTGGGGGACCTGGGCTGTCACATCTCTGAAAGGGTATAGCGGCACCCTGGCTGAGAAGTACTGCTTTAGATCAAACAACCAATCTTAAAAAAAACCAAAAACCAGCCAAAAAAAAAACAAAAAAACTACATACAAGTGATAGGGAATGCCCCACAGCTCTTAGGAATTTATTCCAATGGTTTTTACCCTTGCTATCAATAACACACACCTTATTTCTAGGCTGAGTTTACCCAGCTGCAGCCATTTGATCTAGTTACACCCCTGTCTGCTACAGACGGCCACCCTTTTTCTCCTCCCCAGGTAGGTGCTTGCAGTCCTTCCTTAAGCTAAATGGATGGTGCTCCCTTTGCTTTCCACTACAAGGCATGTTTTCCAATCCTTTCACCACTCTCATGGCCTTCTTGGAGCCATCTCTAATTTATCCTGTTTGGTGTATGAACACCTGAACTTAGCCAATGGTTTCCAGTAGCAGTCACACCAGTGTTAAGTCCACCAGGACCTCCCTAATCCTATTAATTAAATCCCTGTTTATACATGCAAGGATCACAGAGGTCCATTAGACCACAACATAGCTGGTTGCTCATGTTAGCTGATTATCCACCATGACCCCCAGATGAACAGCTGCGGTCTCTCCCTGAGTTCAGTGGGCAATCATTTCAGATGGGCCTGGATTTGGTCCAAGAAGCAAGCATTGCCAAGTGGAAAAGGGAAAAGAAAAACAACGTAGTAAATCTCTGCTCAGCATTGTGCTTCTGGGACTCATACACAGGCCAGGAAGTGCATGTTTTATATTTCGTGCACATTAAATTAGTGGTTATGAAGGGTGATTAGCTAGCAGCCCCTGAGAATAAAATCCTCTGTTTATCTCTGGGATTGTATAGCGTGTCAGATCCCTCACACTGCTTCAGCCTTGATCACTTGCAGGACCTGATCCCACCTGCTCAGTCCAGAGCCTCTCTGCTGAGTCGGCTCATTAATCGCACAGTAGCCATCCACCATGCAATTTGGAGGCACGACTGATGGAGACTAGACTTGAATGAATGGGCAAGAGTGACAGGCCCATTATCAAACACTTAGTGATCCCAGATCTAGAAGTGACCATAACACAAGGCTGCACTATCCTGAATCAAAAGCACATTTTAGGCCTTCCCCTCTTCCCTTGCAGTGAAGATTGATCAGATTTACACCAGGGTACACATCTATTTTAGTGTTCTGCACTGCAACCCAGGACTAGCATCTGAATACTTCCCACATAAAGCTGCCCATGATGGCCAAGTCACTAGCGGGTTTCAGGAGGCATGTAAGGACCACTAATGTGACATGCAGCATGTTTGCTCTGTACATATTGCATCCCAAAAGGGGTGTGATGTAGCCTGAAAGTGGCAATAGGCATGTGTCAAAAAGTCATCCTGGAAAGCTTCTTGGTTCATACCTAGTGCTGTGAAGAGGTGGCTAAATTGCCCTGTTTTAGGTGCAACACATCTGGAATGGGTATGCCATGCTTCACTGTGACAATCCTTAGTGCAGTCCTTTAATGGTGTGGACGTTAGGGTCGTGCAAAATTTTGCCAGCTGTTTTGTTTTGACACTGTTTCGACTCATTTTGAGTCTGAAACAGCAAAATCAAAACTAAATGAAGGGCTTCAAAACAGCCTCGAAACAAAATGAGGGCAGTCAAAATGTTTCAAAAGTTTCAAAATGTTTCAAGTTTTGAAGCAGTCAGCCAAGTGGTGGGAGACGGGGGAGAATCAGGGCCGCGCTCACAGAGGCTTCGCAGCCCCATGCGGCTCAGCCCTGGCTCTCCCCGCCTTTCGTGGCTGGGCTGCTCAGTGGGGCTGGTGGAGCGGATGGGAGCACAGCACTGGCTCTGCCCACCTCCTGCCAAAGGGCTGCGCTCCGATGGGCTCTGCTATGGAGCTCAGCTCAGTGGTGGATGCCGGCAGAGCCGGCGCTGCGCTCTGCCTCCCGCCACCAGGCTGACTTCCAGGAGCTGTGGGAAGCCAATTGCAATGCTGGGGAACTGCAGCCAGGCTGAGTTCCCTTCCCCAGTCTGATCGCAGCCCAATCAAAACGTCAAAACATTGTCGAAACAGCAACACTGTTTCGACGAAACAGAACGGAACAGTGCTTTCAAAATGATCAAAACTCAAAATGAAACACCGTGACGTTGAAACATCAAAACAGATGTCAAAGCACAATGCTGCTGTTTCTCACAGCTGTAGTGGACATGAGGTCTCTACTGTTCTTCCCAGCTCGGTGTCTCAGCAGGGGACAATTCTGCTAAAAATGCCAAGCATTTTTTTTCAATTCACTCCTCCGTGTGGTTTGAAACCCACGTGGATACAGAAGACTCAGAAAGGATTCTCTAGAGACAGGATCTATGGTGTGGGCTGCACAGGCTGAGAGGAACCTTAGATGACAAGACCAACCAGATGATTTGGACTGGATTTGAGACTGTTTAATTTTCAGTCGCTTTGGTGGACAAAACTCCAGGAAAGGAATGAGAGGCACCATACTCAGATTCTAAAGAGGCTGGACGGCATGGAAATAAAGGGATTACTTTAAAGGGGTACTTTTCAGTAGGGTCTTCTGAATATGGATAACATTTTAAATACAACTCGCATGTCTTTGGGAGGACATCATGTTTGTTCCAATTCAACCTCACACTAAAGAAGCCAAGGGCATTCTCTCTGATCTATAGCTTACAATATCTCCAGGGATCCCAGGGGCTCCTGCTGGTCCTTTTACACCATCTGGTCCCTAAATAAAACAAAGCAAAAGGAACATGAATAGCTTAAATATAGTATATCCTTGTCAACAAAGGCACTGCTACAGATGGCAACACTATAGGCTATTCTTCTGCATTTCATTCATCCGTATTAGCATCCATTCATGTTACTTCAGCAGATACATGGATGCCAACCACTGGATATAATTAGCCTTCTAATCCACAAAAAGTCAGATAATTGTGATCGTTTTCCAACCCAAAAAATGGGTTATCATTAGGGAAAAAAAAACCTGTGAGACACAAATAACTTCAGGAAGAAGAGAACTGCTGGGAGAAACATCTCTGAGCACACAATGGATATGGCAAAGTCTTAGGGCCTTGTTACATGTTGCACTTTGAGCTGCTCAAAAGTTGCTCGGTATTAGTGCTAGCTTGAGTTTGGACCTGTCGCAACTTAAGGTTAAAACCTTTGTCTGACTGTCCCCCACTTGCACAGCTATGAGTTGTCACTCCAGGAGGGCTGGTGAGCCAGGACAGGCTTCTATCCCAGCTCTACATGGGAATGTGTGAGAGCAGGCTGTTTGCAAGGGGTTGCACCCCCAGGGATGGGAAGGTCACATCCCCATGGGTGGGAGGAGTTGGCTTGGTGCAAGAGCTGCTCCTTGGCAGTACAGTTCAGGAGGTGGAAAGTTTGTCCCCACAGAACAGGGTGGGAGAGGTGATACTACATCCTGGGAAGCTGGAGGACTGCAACCTGGGTAGCCCCTCTGTGGGGAGTGGCCACACACAAAAGGTACATGAGCTGGGCAACATGGATCAGAGAGAAACTTGCCCTGTGGTGGCATAACTAAACCACCTAAAGTGTGCTTAAAACTAGTTTCAAGTATTAATGTGGGGATGATCCAGGGGTGAAGAGCTCCAGAAGCCACCTAAAATTTAGGTGTAACAAGGCCCTTAGGAATAGTCACGTGAGAACAAAAACCTGCCGGCCTAAGTTACATCAGGGAAAAGGAAAATTAAACATAAAACGGGAAAGTTGAACTGCAAAAATGTATAGCAAGGAAGCAAGTCCTTGAAGGGGGACTGTGGATTTATTGTACCTAGAAATGTCCAAGAAGACTTAGATAGCCACCAGCTGGAGAGGATATGTATGATCCTGCCCACAGGCCGAGGGTTGGGGGATATTAGTTGCTAAACTGATTCTATGATACTGTGCCAAAAAATAACACAGCCTTCATGACAGATGGCCTGAGACGGTTACTGGGACACTCCATACCATTTATGCTACCTAACCACTGGACTTCATGCATGTGGAACAGGAGATAGTAGGCAGGGCTTGGTTCCCAGTGCTGGTCTCAAATTTGGCAGAGGTAGTGGCTCTAGTGATCCACACATGATCCTAGTGGCACCTTTCCATGTGGTATTCATATCGCAGTGACAAAATGTCAACCAGTCTCCTACTGCTGATGTGGTGGCCCTTTCCCACCAGCTACGCTAGAATACCCGAGTACCTCTGGGTAGACACCCTGTGTTAATTCTTTGGTGCACAGGCAGTTCAAACCATGATCAGCTTTGCTGCTGACACCACGATTAGAGGGGTCTGCAAACCTTCAGGAGGGCAAATGCAAGCTGTAGTGACTAGATGAGGTTATACAATGGTAGCTGCTGGCAATCAGAGGAGGCTTGGCAACAGAAGTCCTACATTTCAGGAAAAGATACAACTCAGGAGCTATAAGAGGTTGCACCCAATGATTGATGCAAACTTATTTTAAACTTGACTCTTCAATGCTTTCCTAACACAAAAAGAAGCCACCGTTTTGTTTTGTTTTGTTTTTCCAGGGAGGAGCAGTGTTAGGATTAAGTTAGGATGGCATGCAAAAGGATTCCTTCATTGGGAAGTACATCACAGAAAACAAAAGTTTGTGAAAACTGACTTGAAGATCTTCTGAAGACTCCAAGAGCCAAAATCTACCCCCTGACATTTGTTAACTGGCAGCCTGCTCTGCTGTGCATGGGCAGCATTGCGTAGGCAGTGAACATATTTTTTCATGACCATTTCCTTTGGCATAAAGGAGGTGATGGAAGCAATGGATGAGAAATGGCTGCACAGTATATGAAGTACCAGTTACCAGGCATGTACAAGTCTGTGCTGTTCTGAAGCCCATTAGGAACCCAATGCAAAACATGAACGAAGTGGCTCAGAGGGTAGATCTTGCATATCTACTAAAAATCCCATGGTTGCAGACTGGAGAACACACACGACCATATGCTTTTCAATATAAGGAAAAAGGGAAGAGGAACACTTACAGGTGGGCCTGGGTTTCCAGGTGGGCCCAAAAAACCAGGCATTCCAGGGTGACCCTGCAGAATCACAAAACAACATTTAGATGGACACCGCACTCTTCATAGTTAACTCAGGTCCAGGTAAATAACTCACAGTCACAAGGACGCGGTGACTAAGTGGTGCAATGGGAAAGTAATCAGGAAATAAGCTCTCCTGGCATTACAAATTGAAGCACAGACATCCCAAGCATGCACATTTATGCTGTGTCTAAGACCTTACTAGACGAAGGCTTCCGGGACTGAACGTGTCAAGAAATGTAACGGCGGGCTTGGTATGAGTTGCAAAATTGTATGAAAGGGAAATATTCACTGAGCAATTACTGCAGTGTTAGCAACAAGTCAAGAAAGGAGAGCAGTTATATTGAGGATGGACTTTTCCTAAGGAATCTTCTCTTGGAGGCTGGGAGAGGCAGACTGGGAGGTCATGGCAGAAGGATGGGTAGAAAACAAGAGCTGTGCAAAAGGTTTCAATCAGTTTAAGCCTCCCTGACTGGCCAAAAAGTCTGGCCCTGTTTAAACCAAAAGCTCAGAAAATCTTCCACAACATGGGTCTGAATTTTGGTTATGATCTATGTTACTCCTTAATGTTTCCATGGGATCCCAGCACCTTGTGGGCGCACCACAGTTTCTCTCAGACTTGGCTTCCAAAACCAGCGGTGGTCTTTTACTGAACCATTTAGCCATCGTATATTACCACTGGTTTTAGATGAGCAGTATGGGCAACATGAGCAATTTAAAGGGGTTTCAAGGAGATAAAAACAGCATGGGTGCATCAAGGTATGGTAATGTTTTTGGTTCCCCTATGCTGGAAGGGTTGCCCATCCTCCATCAGTGCGTTACCTGGGGAAGGGAACTCCAGAGGGTGAGGTGACCAAGCAAAACACCTCCCAATGTGGTGGGGGTGATGGTGTTGGTTGAATAAAACTCATCTGGCTTCTCCCAGATGCTACGGGGGTCGGTGCACTTTTATATGAAGGAGGTACTGACTACGATGGTCTCGGCTCAATCTGACCCCAGCCCGCCTGGAGATTGGGGTGCTGGGTGGCTTCACCTGTCGCCTTGCTGAGGATAGACTAAGTGTTGCCAGATACAGAAGTATGGTTATATCATCTATACTTCCTTTCCCATCATGCTAATTTGAGAAACACATACTTCTTTTTACCTGTTCACCTTTTTCTCCAGCTTCCCCCGTTGTTCCACGGTCTCCTTTAGTGCCCTGATAATGAATAAAGCCATTGAAAATCACTTATAGTCACCCAATTTCCTACTTTGGCATTTACATATGTACATACATATATACATACACACACACACACATACATATATATATATATATATATATATATAAAATAAACATGTACACACACACGCATATATATACACATATATATACACATATAGATCAATCAATCGATCAGTCTATCTATCTTGTTGCCTCCAAAATGGACTGACAGAAGTGCTTAGAGACAAGCAGACCTTTAAGTGCTTGGGTGAACTGGAGTCTTCTCTCTCTCAGGCACATATTCATGCATCTCCTCTTCCCCCATCACAGAAAAGGCCTCTAACACATTGTCCTAGGGCAACTATCAAAGCTGGCAGATCCAGCATGAGACTCCAGCAATAACACAGCTTATTACTAAATTGCTGGCTGAGGGAATCAGGTCACCTGATCATACAGGATTGTTCACTAAATGTGCAGTCACTGGATACCTGGGATCTAATATGTAGCACTTGAGAGAGATGGTTCCTCCTCTTGGGAGGAACAGGAAGCAGCATCTGGCTAGAGGAAGTGTGATGGAGAAAGGGTGTGCAATTTTACTTAAAACTGTACCCAGATACTTGCTGGGTTTTTGGTATGCCAGGGTGAGAGCGCATGGGGCTCTTGGAAGAGCACAGCACACAAGGGAAACCCTAGAGTGCACGGCTCCTTTATGAATTCATGTGGGTTCATTACTTCATTTGGAAACCTGCAGGGTAGATGTGTAGGAGCTGAATAAAAATTAGACTATTAGGGTTATTCATGTTCATGTTCACAATTTAAATCCAATGCTACTATTTAAGCAAATGCCTAACCTTCTTGTTCAAATCTCTCCTCTTGCTGCAAGATATAAGGGAATGGTAGAGGAGGGAGTATTTTCCAGACTGCTGAGTGTTTACAGCAATTACCTATATTGCCTGTGTCTATCTGGGTTGCTAACTATCCTCTGAGTTTTATCTCAGAGTCTTCTCCCATTTCCATCTGCTGCACTTCTGCGCCTGTTCCTCTCTTGCTTTTTTCTGTACTTTTAACTGCATGATGTAAAATTAATTTGCTGAATCAATACAGCAGCTTGTTGTACACTATAATAAGTGCAAATGCAAAGAAATTAAAATAGCAAACACTGCTTAAGACAGCAGTACAAGCAAGCAAGTCTAGGGGGAATTATAAGTGCATCATGATGGAAACTTCTTATCTCTATTGCCACTGCCATTGCTTTGCTTCACGCTCGGCAGTTGTAAATGGTTCATTTGTAACTGAGCACTGACATGCTGAGCAAACGGATGGCACGGGTTACAGGAAACAAGAGCTCAAAATGTTAAAAGTACTAGAGTCCTTCAGACATCATGACTCAGTGTGTGTTTGTGGCCCCTGATTATGAGGTCAAGATGTGGTAAATAGCAGAAATGATCCTTTCAGGGTAATACTAGGTGCTAGATAAAGTGGCGGTGGCTGTTCGTGAATCTTCAATATAGCCTCCGGCACACCAAATCTTCAGTTAAGTAGAAGCCACTGAAGCAAACAGGGTGACATGTGTCACAACCCAAAGGGTGTGAATTTTGTTTTTGTGTGCTTCGGCACTGCTAAATTGTTCCCGCTAAATTACAGCTTCTTTTCACGGTGGAGTTTTCTGCTGCAGAGGAGAACCCCGGTGCAAGGGAGAATTTCCCGCCAATTTGAAGCTTTCTTTGCAGGGTGCATTTCTTTGTTGCAGCACAGAAATGCTCGTTGCAAAGAGTTCCCGCCATTTGTATGCTAATTGGAGTCCCATTATTGGCCCGTTCTAAATTATTCACACGTGGCAGCTAGTGATTGGCTTGCTAGCCGTATAAAAGGCTTGAGTGGTTTCCGCCCAAGTTGGAGGACTCCACGAACAAGGGAGGAGGAGACTTCACGCTGTGTGAAGATCTCTAAGTGCTGCGGATCCTTACGGACCCAGTGCATTTAAAGCAGGCAACGGAGGTCTGATCAACCTCTAGCCTCTCCCCGTCGCCGAGCGCAGTCCAGACGTATCCCTTCCCACGCGCAAAAGAACCGGACCCACAGAGCCTAGCAAACTTCGTGTGGAGCAGAAGGACCCACGGAGCCTAGCAAACTTCGTGTGAATCCTTGACCTATCTCAGAGCTCTTCTACCCGGGTTCGAGTCCTGCAGGTTTATTTTTCCCATCGC